TTTGTCCCCAACAGCTTACTCCAAAGTGAAACAAATCAGTTGTGTTGGTGCTAAGATGGTCTCTTTGGCATGCCCACCCCCCCCCCCCCCCCCCCATTGCCGGCCCTCTTCTTTGTTGACAGTCATGTCAACCTGGTTGAAAACAACAAAGTCCATGCTCAATAATCCAAGTATGCAATCTAACATTTTCAGTCAGGCCATCTGGACAGTTTGGTTTTTTTTGCGTCCTTAAACGTTTTACGTTCTATCCAGAAATCTTCATCAGTCAAGGAAACTTACAACACAAAACTGATTTGTCCCCAACAGCTTACTCCAGAGTGGAACAAACCAAATATGTTTGTGTTAAGATGTTCCCTTTGGCTTGCCCCCCCCCCCCCCCCCCTTCCATTGCCGGCCTTCTTCCTAGTTGACAGTCATGTCAACCTGGTTGAAAACAACAAAGTCCATGGTCAATAATTCAAGTAAACTATCTAACATTTTTCAGTCAGGTCATCTGGACAATTTTTGTTTTTTGCATGCTTAAACGTTTTACGTTCTATCCGGAAGTCATCATCAGTCAAAGAACCAAACAACACAAAAACTGATTATTTCACCAACAGCTTACTCTAAAGTGGAACAAACCAGTTATGTTGGTGCTAAGATGGTCTCTTTGCCACACCCCCTCCTCCATTGCTGGCCCTCTTGCTTGTTGACAGTCGTGTCAACCTGGTTGAAAACAACAAAGTCTATGCTCAATAATCCAAGTATACAATCTAAAAATTTTCAGTCAGGTCATCAGGACAGTTTCTTTTTTTTTTTTATTGCTGAAGCGCTTCGCCTTCGATCCAGAATGCCTCATCAGTCATTGAAACACACAACACAAAACTGATTCTTCCCCCACCAGCTTACTCCAAAGTTGAACAAACCAGTTATGTTGGTGCTAAGATGGTCTCTTTGGCACACCCCCTCCTACATTGCTGGCCCTCTTCCTTGTTGACAGACATGTCAAACTGGTTGAAAACAACAAAATCCATGTTCAATAAACCAGGTATACTATCCAACATTTTTCAATCAGGCCATCTGGACAGTTTCTTTTTTGTGTGTGTGTGCTGAAACGTTTCACGTTCGATCTGGAAAGCTTCATTTGTCAAGGAAACACACAACACAAAACTGATTCTTCCCCCAACAGCTTTCTCCAATGTGGAACAAACCAGTTATGTTGGTGCTAAGATGGTCACTTTGGCACGCCCCCTCCTACATTACCGGCCCTCTTCCTTGTTAACAGCCGTATCAAACTGGTTGAAAACAACAAAGTCCATGCTCAATAATCCAGGTATACAATCCAACATTTTTCAGTCAGGTCATCTGGACACTTTCATTTTTTTTGTGTGTGTGCTGAAAGGTTTCGCATTCGATCCGGAAGGCTTCATCAGTCAAGGAAACACACAAAACATAATTGATTCTTCCCCCAACAGCTTACTCCAAAGTGGAACAAACCAGTTATCTTGGTGCTAAGATGGTCTCTTTGGCATGCCCCGTCTTCCTTTGCCGGCCCTCTTCCTTGTTGACAGTCGTGCCAAAATTGTTGAAAACAAGAAAGTCCATGCTCAATAATCCAGGTATAAAATCCAACATCTTTCAGTCAGGTCATCTGGACAGTTTCTTTTTTT